TATATAGCGTTATATTTTCTTGCGTTAATTTTTATCGCGGTAATGTCTTTCGCGGTAATGTCGATCGCGGTAATGTCGTTCGCGGTAATGTCGTTCGCGGTAATGTCGTGTCACGTAGAAAATACTTCGGTTTTTAAAAAGGTTTCACGCAGATCTTTGGAACTAAGAGAATATTTTTTAATGATTTTACATAGAATCAGTATGAGCGGATAAAACAGAGTATCTGCTGACATTCTGAAGTAAGTTGGATGGATTTTGACTGAGTTATGAAATTTTTAATTTTTAATGAAAATAATCAAAAATGGATTATTTCACCTAGTATAGGTTCTCACTCAATTCTTGCATTTTGTTCTAAAAACTAACAGTGCCACGAGATTCAGCATAGTCGATAACTGATGTTTTCAGTCATTTCTCACAGTCACAAACCTAAAAGCAAAGGAGTGCTAAGGCTTCGGGAAAAGCGTCCATAGCCCCCGAATCGTCGATTTTCAAGACGATTTTCAAGATTACATGCAGTTTTATAGGGGACACTTCTTACTAAATATCTATCCAAAGAAATTGACCTATTTCTATATCAGCTATCAGAGATTCAACGTGGTTGTCCAAAGCTCCTCTAAAACACCGGCTTCGGAAAACTTTTCAAAGATCAACTTTGCTTATGAAAGTATACCGTCAAGTGTCTATTATCCATTTCAAAAAAGAAAAGGATGGCCATTTCCTGAATAACTTTTGATTAGTATGTGATGAACACAAACGGTTGGTACCGTTAGAAAGCTCAGAGCTTCTGTTGTCCAACCGTATATTTGGTCGATTTTCTGTGTTTTCCCATAGGTGTTTCCGTTCTCACTTTTCATTGCGAAGTCACTAAATGGGGTCAAGAAAGAGATTTGAACAGCTGGTAGAATTCGGAATTTGCTGTGCTGTTTAAAACGATTCTATCATAGCTGTTTAAACCAGGGTCTCTGAAAAACCAAAATCTCAGAAAACCAACTGCTAGAGTTCAATCTAAAAATTCGTTACAAAAGCTTCATTGTGTACAGCAAATATTTCTGAAGAAAATGAGACGTCTCCGAGCTCTTTACAGCACGTCTTAGTGAATCAGCATTCAATTTACGGACCGTGCCATACCAGCAAAACTAACGGGAAAACAAGCGTAGGGCCTCTGTACATTGAATGCTGATTCACTAAGACGTGCTGTAAAGAGCTCGGAGACGTCTCATTTTCTTCAGAAATGTTTGCTCTACACAATGGAGCTTTTGTAACGAATTGTTAGATTGAACTCTAGCAGTTGGTTTTCTGAGATTTTGGTTTTCCGCAGACCCTGGTTTAAAGAGCTATGATAGAACCGTTTTAAACAGCACAGCAAATTCCGAATTCTATCAGCTGTTCGAATCTTTTTCAAATTTATTCTAGCTTGTGTAGTCCACGAGAAAAATCAAAATAAAGGCGGCGAGCAATTTTTGGAGCCATTCGAGGTTAAAGCGGCGCAGTATTTAATACCCAAACACGGCTGCCAGGCTTCGTTAAGTTTCCTATTAACATATCTTGCAGAGACTTGCAAGGCGCATCAAATGGTGTATGAATGATTAGAGGTCATCTTTAGTTTCACAGAGAAAGGTGATGGTGAGTTAACGTAGCATAGCGGCGATGAAAAAATCTAGTATTTGATTCATAAAACCTGCATGCCAGGCTTTATTAAGTTTCTTATTAACACATATCGCAGAACTTTTTAAGGCGCATCGAAGGATATATGAATGATTAGAGATCATCTTTAGCTTCATAGAGAAAGGTGATGGTCAGTTCGAGTAGCATAGCAGCGAAAAAATCTAGTATTTGATTCATAAAAAAATTCGTCCCGATTGAAAAAAATGCGAAACAAGGGGGCGTTTTTTCTCATTATCCTGCCCCCTAGGATCCCTGTGGGTATAGGAACGGTCGGTGTGAAAAATTCGGGTGACTATACTTCTCTCTTTCTTTATTATCTGATGATGACAAGAGAACTTGTCGAAATATCACGATAAAATACATTTGATTAAGTATTAGTCATGTTCTGTGCAGTTCTGTACTTTCTCTACAATTTAATTCAATTTTCAACTGCCTTCTCTCCAAGTTTTATTATTAATACTCGTCAGAAGTACGGCGATGTTATATTCTCATCTATACGTCGTGTCGAAAGATTAAGTATAAAATACCAAAAATGTAAATGCGATCTGGAATTTTTACGGTTGTGTCTGATCTATAATGTCATTCCTAAGTTTGTTCGATTCAAATTGTATGATAATAGACTCAAATCACAAGAAGCACATAAACAATACCAAAGACATTGTCTATTAATGGAGTTTAAAAAGAGAAATCGTGATTCAATTAGATTACAATCTGAAATTAACGATGTACTCAGTGACCTTAAGAAGAACTTAGCTAAAAAAGATTTCCAACAATTTCAGCTATTTCTCTATGATCGAGCAAAGCATGAAAATGAACGAGTCACCAAAATTCATGAGAAGAAGTTAAAATCTATGGTCTCAGGACATATCGGACAAGATTATCAATCAATGAAAGATAAAATTCTCCACAATCTCTCCTCTTATGTCTTAACTCCGTCTCAAGAAAGAATTCTTTGTCGTGGAATGAATTTTGTATTGAACAAAAGCTCACATCAGTTCTCGATTTCCAAACGGACGTTGAACTTAACGTTTCAAAAGTAGAAAAACTTTGTCATCCGTCTAAAATGAGCATTGCTTAAACTGTACATTATTCTTTTTTTGCTTTGAGAGCTACAAGTGTTGTGAAAAATAATGAAATGTAAATATTTTGATTAATTTTAATATTCATTACTAATTAGAATAAGTAAAAACTTCACGAAAACTAAACTGTGGAAATGTACATATCGAACGTTATGAATATACAACCAAGCTATATTTTTATACATCAAATAAAAAAACACCCAAAAAAATTCTGGACCACTTCAATAATCATACTACCTTTACGCGGTGAAGTGGATAAGTATCCTGTTCAGTAACGACCTAGATTCTCATTACGAGTATAAGCAGGAGCGTTACTGGAAAGATGAAACCAAGAGCATGTTTTTATATCTTTTCTTGACTTTTTCTACGATAAAATTGATAACTAAAGGCAATATGTACTTTTTTACGGCTCATCCCACCATGTTGTTTTTATTTGGATTGACTAAAAATCTCAAAAAAAACAAAAAAACTTTAAATTTGAATTTTTACCGGACAAAATTTAAATTTGAATCTTGTCCGGACAAATTTAAAATTTGACCGAATTTAAAGTTTGTCTGCAACGTATACGCATGATTTGGGTTCATTGTTTGTGCATTGGAGTCAGACAACTCACTTGTCATATCGTGATCATCGTTGAATTCCAGTAGTGCAACGAGATCTTCTGAATCATCCATCTCGCTTAGGTCGTCTCGAGCAAAATTTTTCGGTATATAGACCGAGTCGATGTTGTCATCCGCTGCTTTTGTTTGCTCAATAACTTGAATTAAATGCTCGTCCCGATCTTTTCTACACTCATGCAGTAGCTGAATATTGTCAATTATTGTTTTTGACGATGGCAGGAAAAAGCTAGCGTTTAGTCTTAATGATTGGTCCCACGTAATATCAGCTTGACATAAGTCATCGACACTTCTCCAGGACAAAAACAAAATGGCACGAGCATATCGTTCTTTCGTGTCTTCTCGATCTTGAGATACGACGCCACTTGAACTCCGGATAGTTCCTGTTGTGATGCTATTGTATTATAGCATCGCAACACTAATTTGCGAGATCGTTCATGGAGGTCATCAGTCGCGTCCGATGCTGTGTGCTTATCGATCGATCCCATGGCTTTATGAACCAAGGTATCGTGAAACGATAAACTGGTTTTAGTGACATAATCTGTAATGTAATAGACTAATGCCTTCGCATCCGAACCACTCCATATGAACTTTATGTCCATATTTGAACGACAAGCACCGATTATAAATTCATTGAAATTATTTATAGTTTCATGACTGCGTTTCATTTTGATTTGTCCAGTTTCAGCATTTATCGTTGTTTCTGGTACTAACGCTCTGGGCATGCGCAA